TGAAAAGCAGCTTTTCTGCCTTTTATGAGATTTATACCCCCAGTAAAATTTTTTTTATTGTTTAAAAAAAAAAATAATATTTTTTATAAATAAATTTATGTATGGAAATCGATATCCTTTCATCAGGAGTTCTTAAATTATTTCATAATGAAGAACAAAGTCAGAGCCATTCGATGCGATGTCATATTGCTGAATAAAATGTTAAAAGTTCGTTTGAAAGAATTGGAACGGATTATATTAATTTTTATTATCATGTTCATTTTAAGTGTAAAAAAGTTTATACATTCATTCGAAAAGAATGATTGATAAATTTTGGACGTTATGGAAGAATTTGATATCCATAAAAACCAAAGGTGGTAAATTTATGATCATTGAAAGATAATATTTAGTTTATGGCATTATAATTATAAATATCTTTTCATTGTTGACCATAGCATTTTTTAATGAATTGGATGGATTAATTAACAATAAAAAGAAATATAAAATCATTATATTGAGGTCGTTAAATCAGAACAAAAGATAGTTTATTAATAAGATTTATGTAGTTCAATAAGAAGGACATAAATTTATTTGGTTAAGGACAAACAAATGAAGTTTTAGAACCAAATCATTCGATATTTATTTTAACATTTTGAAATATTAGTTAATAGGTGATGGTAACACAATGGATTTGACTTTTACAATCACGATTCCTGTTTATGCAGCAAACAATTACATATTAAGAGTTCTTAAGTGCCATAATATAAAAGTAAATAAAAAAAAATGACGAATGTTCATATTAAACGACGATACACGATCGTTAAACAAAATATCAATTATTTTTATTTTTGATAAACGAATATATAAGAAAAATACATAAATGTAAAAAGTCAGGTACTGTTTGTTGTTTTGATATCCGATAATATCAATGATTTATCAGGGATCGAGGATAAATTTATTAATGTGCAATTATGTCAAGCATTGCCATAAATAGTAAAAATCTAAATGTCATATAAATAGCTTTAGCAGATAAAAAAACAACAAAAAAAAGAAGTCCAAGAATGAAAGGACATTATATTCAGCAATTAATACATTTCTTCAATGTACTCATAAACGGCTCCATTCTCGATAAACCATACCATACTAACTGATCGTCTCTTCAATTGTGTGTAGATAGTCCCATTTAACCATAACATCAAACGCAACTTCATTCTACAGAAACAAAATAAATACCTTTTTTTTATATTTAATAAATACATTTGCTAATTTCTCATAGTGAAAATAACTAGGTGATGATTTCTCGCAATGAATTAAGCAATATGGGAGGTTTACTATTAAAATCGAGTTACAAACATAATAAATCATATGATCCGTAACATGATTTTAATAGCTTACCTCACATATAAGTAAAAAACGGATTTTTTTTCTTTTTTTTTTTTTGATGAAATTTAACAATTAGCAAAATAAAAAGATAATTAATAATTTATCAGCAAAGGACATTTTCTTATGTCTCTTTTTTTTCTCGTATATAATTATAATTATTCATAATAAATGACCCTTACACGCGCTCCAAGCGCAAAAAGTATGAGGTAATAAAAAAATATATTCAATAACTATTTGGTTTTCTAAAGTTTATCGCTTGTAACAAATTAATTCTGCATTGGCATAATTTCTATTCAGAATAATAGCACGATTACAACAAAAAAATCTGAAAAGCTTCTACATTTCCAGCTACTCCTGTTATCGCATCAACAATTCCTAAACAATAACAACGTCCAACTAGAAACGGAAGGAAAGTAACAGATTATAATGAATAAACTTCTGATTCATCCGAATATTTTTTAGATATTATCGATGACGAAAATTCAAAGGAAAATTACCATCGCGACTTTGAAAAAGGGATGGGGGCGGTTCAAAAAGAGCGACTCCGAGTCGGCTCTGGAACCGATTATAAATTAAACACATTCTGGGTTTTCCTGAGTTACAAACCAATTTTAAAAATCAAATCGGAACCGAATCCGAACTGGTTCCAAGAGTCGGCTCAAAATCGAATTGTCATCAAATTAAGATGAATTTGTTTGATAACCAGTCAAAAAATTTTTTTAAATTGATCATATGATGTTCTATTAATATAAATTTAACTTAACGTTCAAAGTTTAATTTACTCAAAAAGAGTCGAAATAGAGCCGAAAAGGAACCGAAACCCATCCCTACTTTGAAATCGACTAATCTAAAGGTATGTGTCATGTCATGATATCATAATACTTTAGGTGAATTAATCCATCCATTTTTTTTTGTATAGATGATTTGTCGATATCTTAAACTTTATCATAAATCGTTCAGATTAGTTTATATCAATGGGATCTCAAAATTAAAAAACTTTTATGTTGATTCACAGTCAGTATTAATCAAGAAAAAAAATACTTTATTAATAAAAGAAATGCTTGTATAATTAATAAATAAATGCTTGAACAATAAAGTTAAACTGGTCATAATTTGAAAAGTAATAATTTTTAGTTAAATTTAATCAAGGTGTTAGAAATTGGTAGGATAGTTGTTTGATTGTTGATTTTTTAAATATTCAGGGTAGATTGTCGTTAAGGAATCGGGTTTATTTGGTAAGCTTTTTATTCGTGTATTAAAACAATAGAGTTTCGTTAAGGAGTTTGGTAATGTTGGTAAGCTAGTTATTGAAGTTTCATAGCAATCGAGTTTCGTTAAGGAGTTTGGTAATGTTGGTAAGCTTGTTATTTTAGTTTCATGGCAATCCAGTTCCGTTAAGGAGTCAGGCAATGTTGGTAAGCTTGTTATTTGAGTTTTACAGCAATAGAGGTATGTTAATGAGGTAGGTAATGTTGTTAAGCTTGTTATTTCAATTTCAGAACAGTCAAGATAAGATAAGGGGTCAGGTAATGTTGGTAAGCTAGTTATTTTAGTTCTATTGCAATCGAGTTTTGTCAATTTTCGATATCTTTGTAATCCGCCCAGGTTGTTCAATATGTCATCCTTATTCGTATCTGTGATGGTTATACTTTCAATAGTATCATCATAAATGATTAATTCAAGATTTCTGATTCTCTTTTCTAATTCATTAATGATTTCTTGCTTTTTTTTGGACACTTCTTCTCGTTCTCTAATCTTTTCTTCTAAATTATTAATAATTTCTTGCTTGGCCTTTGCTTCTCTAAAATTTTCTTCTGAATTATTGATATTGGCTTTGGTTTCTTCATCTCGCTCTCTAACTTTTTCTTCTAAATATTTGAATTGTGAACGTAACCCTTCGTTACTTTGCTCCAATTCCTTAATTTTCTTTTTTAAAACCATTTTTTTTTTTTTTTTTTTTTTTTTTGGACTGGTAGTTATTTAAACGAGTATTTGCATACAAAGTTGCCTCAGCCCTCGGTTTAAATTTTTCCGTTCCGAAATATTTCCCTTAAATGATCTAGTCTACTCGGATAACTTATCTAACCGATTCTTTTTTACCAAATTAAGTTAGCTGCTTTTGAAAATCGAAAATAAATCGAGTTAGCTTCTTTTGTAATTCGCAATTCTACAAAACTTTCAATAAAATGGAGAGAAATAAGGCTATAAATTACCATTACGTAAGCACCCACCATTTTCGTAGTAATTCGCTCCAATATTATGAAATAATCAATTTACTTATTAAAATTAGATGAGAAGAATAAAAGAAAAATTGTATATAATCTCGGACGAGAGAATTTTTTTTTGTAGCAAATTATAATTTAAATCAGATTCTTTTTATGTATTACGTAAATACAGTATATTGAATAATTGGAATTGGAAATAGAAATTACTGCGCCTTCTTAGGAGACTAAAACTAGGGAGACCTGAAGTAGTGTTCCGTAAGGGTCGGTTCAGGTCGGGTTTAAGGCATATTCGAATTCGAACCCACCCGTTAATAATTACCGGAATTATCAAGGATAGTTTTAATGCCGAAAATAAATAAAGTGTCATATAAAGTTAATTTTTTTTTTAAAATATTATCATTTTTTATTATGAGCATTAATCCTAATTCTTTATTTTTTTTTTTTACCAGGATTTAAGCATTTAAGGCGCGAATTGTATTAGCCTTAAGACCACTTCTTTTGGCTGATATCAAATGGTTCCTCCAGAAAAAACTTGTTCTACTGGAAAACTTGTTGTTTTATAAAAAATGTATTAGTTAATGGATAAATTTTTTTTTTTACCTGTAATTGTTAACTCCGCAATGCTTTTCGTTTTAGAAAAAGTTCTACTATCGACATCGTCCTCATTATTTGTTTGTTACAAATTAAAGTCGGGTAATGTAAAAAAAAAAAAAAAAATCAGATCGCCTGATCATCTGGGTCACCCGGGTCAAGCAAAAACGTAACCCTGATCCGACGGGTTTTTTAGAATTAGGAGAAAAAATTCGAGTCGGGTCAATTATCCGGGTCGACTCGATCGGCTCGGAGCACCTTCACTGCACCACACGCTGTCAAAATATTTTGGAAGCGAACCAATTCCAAAGAGGAAAAGAGCGCAAAATTAGAAATAATAATAAGAAATCGTTCGGTCACTGTGTCCAGTTGCAATCAAAAAAAAGAAAAATAATAATGAGAATTCCGAAAATAATACCTAAATAAAAAAAACAAATAAAAGCCTTACCGTAGCAGATCAAACTACCCTCCCGAAAAGAAAATAAAATTAGAATAATTAGTAAAAAAAGGGAAATACGAAAAATCTACTAATCAAATATTGGAAAACTTAAACCATTGCTGGAGCCTGAAACTTCAAATACAAAAGAAAATAAACTAGAAAACACTAAAATATATTACCTAATACTTGCAGAAGTGTTCCAGGAACAACCCTAAAGAAAAAGAGACGCAAATTTTTTTTAAAAAAAAAGGCAAGAAATTAAATATTCGATCTAAGCGATTGAATGAACACGAACCAAACAAAAAAAAAAAAAATATTCAAATAATCCGATCTTAAGAAGGAAATAGGCGCAAGATTTTCTTGGAAAAATCGTTGGCCCTGAAATCTATTTATTTTATAAATTAAATATAAAATTAAAAACAAGTAAAAAAATCAAGATCATTTATGTAAAAACAATTGGAAAATAATAATAAAAGGTTGATGATAACTGTTTTGTCAAAGAATATTATAAAAAACTATTTTTATCATAAGATTATATAATTGTTTATAACTGTGCGGCAATAGTCGCAATTGTGCAGAACTGCTTACAACAGTTTACATCATTTATATATATAAAATTTTTGTACAAGCATGTTGTACATCTTTCCAAAAAAAATGTGCGTAAAAATTTTAATCCTATGCGCTGCGTATAAGCCATTCAGTGAAAAATAAACAATAGTGCTGATCCCCATATCATTTGTAAAGGATTATGATATATATATCTTTGTTATATGACTTAATTTAGGTTGGCATTATAAGTTTAATTATATAAAAAGCAATTACCTTTATTTTTTTCTAAAACTTAAAATGAAAATATTATAATTATCATTTATCTCATCGGTATTACGTTTACACCAGTAGAATTTTTTATTACTTACTACACAGATTTATAATAGTTATAAATACTGAATATTAATAAACTTAAATTAAAGAGGTTCATATTTATTATATTAATTTAATACAATTAGTAAATAATATAAATTAGTAATGAATATAAAAATGCATATCTATAATAGATATCTTTGAAAATTTTGATTGTAATTTGCTTTTTTTATGTTTAATTAGAAACACCTTTTAATGCTTGTCTTTTGTTGCTATTGTTTAAAAAAAAATAATAGTTGAAATTAATAATCGAAAGAATGAATTACAAATAATCTACTTTTATTATTTATGTGAATTTTATTATTTGAATCAGAATTTTAATTAGAACTTTCTTCAGAATCTATCAAACTTTTATTTAGATTTAAATCTTTATTATTATTTAATTCCTTACCTTATTTATTATCAAACATTTCTTATTCTTCATTTGTTTTTAAAATTAAAATTATTATAGCATTTAACTTGCTAATATTTAAACAATTTGAATTATTGTTATTATTATTTAAATTAGCTAATGAATTTTCAGAAAAGTATTCAATTCTTCAACATTAATATTATTAAAATCTAAAGATATTAAACTAATAGTATTTTAAATTTCTATGCTTCAGCTAAACTTTTATTAAGTTTTTACTTCATAATCTAAGATCAGAAAATTTCATAATTTCATCTTCTAAAATATTTTTATTTTTTAGCATTTAAAATTAACAATTTTTCAATTATCAGTTAAACTAATACCTGTTAAAGTAGCAATTTGATATAATATCTTTCCTAATTTATTTTATCCTATTCAGATATTTTATATCAGATTTCTTTACTAAATCTAAATAATTAAAAATTTTTATTAATACATTATAAATAATATTTATTTATTTATCTTTTTTTGATCATGTAATATCTAAAAAGAATGATAGATATATATCTTAAGGTCTCATTGATTTATATTTTAAAATATCATATATAAGCTAATAAATATTTCCTTTAAAATCTAATAGAATGGGAATTTTTCATGATATAGATTTTCCATATTTATTTCTATTTCTTATACCTCTTTGATTATTTTGTTTAATAAACATTTCTAAGTTTAATTCACCATTTTTTTTCACGTAATTTGTCAATCTTTAATTTTAGGCATTATTACTATGTAAACTACACCTTAAGAAATCCAAAAGAATACTCTTCTGATTAAGATTCATTATTATCATTATTTATTGATGAATGATCCAATATTTGTTTGATTTCTTGCTTAGTTAATAAATCAGCTTGTGCAGTTTTTCTAATTTTTTAATTTGAAGTTGTTTTATTTTACCATCTAATATTTTAATTGCTAAAGGAAAGACATACTTATCCTATATTTTACATAGTTTAATTAATTGATCCTTCTTTTAAATATCTTGCTATAGATGCATAACAATTATAAACAGATTCCTCTTTGTAGTTTTAACCATAAATTTCTTAAGTCATGTAATTAACTAATATAAAAATTGTTCAAGTTCTTTGCAAGTATCATATTCATTAATATCTTTTGTTAAATTAGCCTCTTTATTAAATTTATCAACCATATAAAGCCACTTTGGGGTATACTTGTCTGTATTTTTTACTCTTGAAAGTTGTTGAAGCTGTAATATTTCCTTATTTGTAAGAATAGAATCCATATGATAGAAAATTTTTTAATTTTGTAAAAGGGAAAAAAAAGAAGTAAAAGTGAGATAAGAGATGTGTGGAAAAATATTCAATTTATAAAAATTCTACCGTTGTATACGTCATCAATGAGATAAGCCTGTTATTCCATACTTCGTTACGGATTACTTAGGTTATAATACTACTAGTTATCCGTAACGAAGTATGAAATAACAAGTATTTATAAAGTTGGCTGAAATTTGATAGTCATGTGATTTTCATATGAAATTAAACTTACATATGCGTCGCCCGTAAAAAATGGTAGCCGGATTTTATTTACCGGGTATTTATTATTAGGGTTAGTATTATAGTTAGGATTTGAATTAGGATAAGGATTAGGGTAGGATTAGGATTAGTATTAGTATTAGGGTAGAATTAGGATTAGTTTAAGGTGGGGTTAGCAAATTTGTCACATCGTGTCACATCCCCAGCCGTTCTTCAATTTACTAAGTATTCTGGGGACAGAATATTTTGAGAAAAATGCTAATTGTCACAATTATATGTCATCCCTAATAAGTATATGTGACCCGGCAAATAAAATCCAGCTACTATATTTTACGGGCGACGCTAGGGCTGTTTATGAAATTATGACATGAGGGGAAACAGCCGGAAAAATCAATGTTACTTTTATTTCCAAATATGATTTTTAGGTCAAAATATGTTCAGATTTAGCATTAACTCAATTTTTATTTT